TTAATAGGCTATTCATTATAATAAAATGATTAATTGATTTAAAAACAACAAAAAAAGAGCTAACAAGAAAATTAATCAATTTTTGGAATTCTTGTTGTTGCTAAATTCACTGATAGCAGTTACATTCTTTATTGTATAAATATCATTTATAATTTAATAATTTTTGAATGGAAGGTTTTTTTTTATAATTCTATTCTCCTGATAATATTAAGATTGGAGAATTTATGAAAGTTACTGAAAATACAAGAAGATTACTAAGTTAAAAACTATCAAGCAGATATAATTACAACAGATTATGAATTCTTGTAACTTAAATGGATACTTTAATAAACAGATGTTAATTTGAAGAAGTTTTCATCTGAAGAAAAAACTTAAAGTGAAAATATCTTGTTAGAAAAACATCAATAAACTGTTTTCATGTAATTGAATTACCTTGCTAAATAAATAGTTCATTAATGATTGCATATATGACTAAAAGTGAAAATGAAGATTACTCAATGTTTTTTTCATCATATGATTCTGCTTTATATTGTAATACAAATGTTCAAGAGATGAAAAAAGTTAATAAATAAATTAGCTACTCCATCTATTGTCTTAAGATCATTATGGAATTATCTCATTTGGATACTCTCTCGAATTCTTTATAGAAATTTACTGCTATTCTACATAAAAAATAATGTGAAATTATTTTAACAAATATATGAATAATTTTTACTTTCATTAAACTTACAATGAAAAAGATTTTGAAACTGAAGATTTATGGCAGTTTTTCGAATGAAAGAATAAATTAGCTTAGAATAGCATAAAATAGTTTTACGATAATTATATAAAATAATTTAATTTAAAATGAACAAAAAATATTTTTTTTTTGGATTAAACGAAAATTTATAAGTTTTAAAATCATTTTTAAATTAATTAAGAAAAGTAATCTAATATCATATTTGAATATGATAAAAAATTTAGTCATTAAATTTTATATTAACTAGAAACAGATAGAAAAAATATTTAAGTTGTTTCAACAAACATTACTTTATTTCGATATGTTTAAATTGACAGAATATTTTATTTGTTTTTTCTCTTATGGATCAAAGTAATAAATGCTAAATTCAATATCCTTCTAATCCTATTCATTGGAAAATAAAATTTTAATAGTTAGTTCCTAGTTTTTCTTCAAACTAACTATTGATTCTGGAAAAGGAATTATTGAAAATATGGTATATGCATTAGTTTCTAATTTGAAATCCTTTAAATATGGAGTTAATGAATCTTCCAATAAATCAATTACTTTTTCATTAATATCTTCATCTTCTCTTAATGAAATTTTCCATTACCTACTTCAGAAATTCTTTTAATTAAATAATAACTGCAAGCTTCTCCTATTCCTAAAGTATAGATTCTAGTTTCTGCTCTATTGTAATCCTTAACTAATTAAATTATCGGATCTGCATCGTCTAACAAAAACACATTTAAAGTTGTATCATTTGAACTTCCATAACTACCATCAATAATGAATAAATAGTTCCCTCTAGGTTAATTTTCCATTTATTAATTATAAGCATCATCTAATGATATTTAATAAAATTATGGAATAAAAGTTAATGTGGCTCAACATTTCTAAATAAATAAAGCATCATTATTTGTATAAATATATAAAATATCTATTAATTATATGACTTAGAATTCCTATAGGTAGATTAATATCATTAGATGAAAAAAGTAAAGTAAACTTCTTTTATAGATTATAATTTTCAGGAATACAGATAAATATTATAATATAAAGAAATTTTATCATCTAATTTAAAAACTAATTTATCGCAGTTTTGATTATCTTTAGCATTTATATAGTATAAGCTATGAGTCGGAGACTTCCAATAAGTAATAGGTGATCCATTATCTAATTTGATCTCAATATCTTATGTGTAGTGATATGTAAAGTCTCTGAGGTTGGGTATATTATTTAAGTATTTTAAAACCTCTTTAAATCCTACTGGAACTTTATCTCTATTACTTTAATAATTTTAATCAATTATTGGAGATAAATCAATTTTCCAAATCACTTTTAATTTTTTATTTAGAGATTAATTTTGAGTCTTTTTATTTATGGAAATCTTAAATCTTCCTCATTATAAGCCAGAGTTTTTCCTAGTTTGGCAACTTCTTCAAATTCTTCCTTTGCTTCTTCTTTTTCTTTACTACCCTATAGACCACTTATTCCCTTAATTCAACTTTCATTTTAGTGACAGCTGCATTTTCATTGATTGAAAATACATATTCAAGATCTTAAGAGTGATTCAAGCTTTCAGTAAAATAAATTTATTCTAAGCCCACTATTTATAATCCTTTATGTATTTTTAAATGATAATTAATGATCTTCAATGGTATTATCATTCTCCTATTCTATTCAAAGCAGACAAGTAGCTATAATGGACTTATAACTTAATTATCTTTTTATACATCTCGTCTACATTTCTGATTGTTATTGCTTTATAAAATTGTAGGTGTATTATTATTTTTGCAAATATATGATTATGAATACCTGATATTTTTTTGATATTTGATTATTTTTGATATTTTAATTCTATTTATTAAATTTCTGATATTCTAATTCTATTAAAATATTAAATAAAATAATTAAAATAATTTTGATCATGATTCTATTAAGACTTTTATATTACGTTCAACACATCATAAGGCTTATTAACCATATTGATTATTCATCTTTTGAATAATTTGGAGGTTAATATTTTGTGTATAGTAAGATGCTTAGAAGAAAAGATAATATAGACCACGCATTTAATAAACTCTCTTTACTTTATATTTGTAAGTTCAAGGATTTTCGCAGAATGATTTTGATCATTTTTTTTTAGAGCATTATAAAACTAATTTTAATTCAACTGAGGATTTTAAAACATTGGAAATTCGTCTAGTTATTTGATGTATTGAAAGTATGATTTTCTTAGAGGTCTAGACATTTTTATATTTGGATTATTTATTATTTACAACTTGAATTTTAGACTGATTAAAATGTTCTAAGTATATAATATTACTTAGTTTGATTAATTAACTCATTACAATTACTTTTAGGCAAAGAAAATTCTTAATTATTGTCAAGTTTTAATAGTAATTATTTTTTGTAACCATTTCTATTTGATAAGAAGCAGATTCTGTAATGATTGATATTAGCATTGGCTTCAGTTGGTTAAATAGACATTTGAATTTGATCATTTTGCAATACTCCATCTGAATCTTATTTCTCAAATTTGTTATTTCCTTCTAATAATAATCTTTAAACTATCGTAATGTTCTTTGAATTCAAGTAATTAGTACATATTGAGTTTTGTTTTGCATTATTTATATATTTCACCACTTAAATCTTCACATTTACCATTAATCCGTGCTTAAAGTCTTTACATATTTTAACTATTAGGATAATTATCTAATTTTTGTTATTAGAATCTGATTTACATTACATTTTCTCTTTCAACCATTTTAAGAATAAGTTTAACATTTAACAACTTTAAATTTATAATAGCTTTTTATTATCATGAACAGATAATACATGCTGATTTAGCATTTATATTTGAACAATAGTCTTTTAATGACAAACATAAAATAATTTTGTTATACACCCTTCCTATTAAGGTTAAGTTCACTCTTAGTAGTATTTGTAGCAGCTTAACAAATTGTTAATACTCTTTCTTAATTGAACCATTTTCATTCATTAAATTAACTATTTATAACACAATCTGCATTCTTTCCATCTCGAAATTTCTTTCTGATTACAAAATTAATACCCTCAGTTCTACATTTACTTTTATTGTATTTACATAAAAAATCTGTTCTCAGAATGTAGAAATAAGAGGAACAATAACAAAGTTATAATTTACTAAAATAAGAGTGTCTATTATTAAGAGGAATACCATTTCCTAATTTATATACTAATTAAATATTTAGGAAACTTTGACTATCTTTATGTGTTAGTAAAAGTATTTGACCAATTATTGCAATTAATATGATTTAATGAATTATTAATAGATTTGTAATAATTACAATTTTATTAATAAAATATAATTAAATATAATTAAAAAATATTAATAAATAATGTAGATATTTGATTAATTTTCAACTGAATTTCTCAAAAGATCTAAATCAAATACTGCACTAGAGGACTTGAACATTATGACTAAATAATTCAATTTCTAATTTTAGATTCATATAAATTCTAAATTATTTTCTCCAACTTCTACAAATCCTGTGCCAAAATATTTTCGATTCCTTCCCATTACGAATAAGAAATTAAATCAAAGTTGATAAATGTCAAAATCCCTCTATAAGTAGTGGTTTCATCTTTGATTGACCGAAATCTATTTATAAACTCTAACTACCTATCAATTAAGTAATCTTTTGTTTGAAGTCAATATCATATTTTTCATAAAGTAAATTTCTTGTACCAACACAACTTTTTAATAAAGCTTTGATTATTATTAATTATATGATTCACTTTCATTAAAATCATCATAAAACTGAGTTAAAACATAAATCGCTTTAGATTCTTTACTTTGTGAATGCATCTAATATAAACACTATAATATAAATTATTTATTTTATATTTTAAATCACATTTGCAAAAGGATGAGATTCTTTTTGTCAACCCTTGAAATTAAATATAATTATCTACTAAATAGAAAACTTATTTATTAATAAAGTGTGTATTGAATGTCATTAATATCTTTTTTTTGGAATTAATTAACTAATCTTTTGATATTAATAAGGGAGTTACAAATCCCTCACTACGTTTTTGTTTATTGTTAATATTTTTTATCAATTTTTATTTTACCCATTCAAGAATTATCTATTAAATTTATTAAGACATTTAATGTTGAAATTACATTCACTATTGTGAATTTTCTAATATGAACG